TCATCAAGGTATGGCCTTTATAGATTTGTAGAATCATGAATTCCTATTTTGCAGATTTCTTTATTAAAAGTAGAATTTAGAGAAGAAACAGATTAAAAAAGTGTATGAAATACAGAAATGCAAGCTGTGTGCTGTCTTTACTTTATTTAAAAAAAGTCATCGTCAGTTAAATTGAGGAGTGACTTTTTCCGATTCAGTGAGTGCCAACGTAGCAAGATAGATGTGGAATGGGACTTTGTTACTGAGACCTTTTCATGGTGCTGTATTCCCTGTGAACTTCCTCAATGCAGCTCAACATGAATTCTGCTCCCACCTTCATCAACTTCCCGGCCAAGGGGAAGCCCAAGCGGGGCGACACGTACGAGCTGCAGGTGCGCGGCTTCGCGGCGGAGCAGCTGGCACGCTGGGTGGCCGACAGGACAGACGTCCACGTGAGTGCCCAGGGACAGCTCCCCACCACCCCGCAGCTCTCCCTTACTCTGCAGTGCCACCTGGGAAATGGGTCGCTTGTGTTCTGTGCCTGATGAGCTGCTCGAAAGAGCTCGTTTACAAAACCTAGTTCAGACACGACTGCATCTTTTGGTTTCCTCACATTGTGTCATTCTGTATTTGAGATGGTAAAACTCATCTCCTTCCTTCTCACTCTTCTGTTCCCATGGAAGAAAAACAGTCTTTTAACAGAGGAAAGGTGTGTAACACTGAAGTTACAGTAGTGGGGGAAGAAGCATTGCTTACTTCCCAGGTCAGAATTGTTATATAAAAAAATGTGCATGTATGATGCTTTTTCCACTCCACTATGTTGTGAGGCTTGTTGGCAGGAGTGCAGCTATAGTGTGTAATCCTGCTGAGAGGAAATGACTCCGATGTGCTCTGCTCAGATCCGTGTGATCAGGCCCCCGAACTACGCGGGGCCGTTGATGCTGGGCCTGCTGCTGGCTGTCATCGGGGGCCTCGTGTACCTGCGGGGCAGCAACCTGGACTTCCTCTACAACAAAACTGGCTGGGCTTTTGCTGCTTTGGTGAGTCATCACAGCTCCTCTCTGTCTCTTGTCGTCAGTTTGGAGCATTCTAGTCTTCAAAAGCTTCTGTGTTTAAAGATGCTTAAACGTGATAGAGGAAAATGAGGTGTAGTTAATTTTACTTTTTCGTAGACTGATTATTTGGTCTTGGTCCTTTCAGCTCAGTGTATGTTTGATTAGATGCCTTTTGTACAAATAAAAGGTAGGACCATGTCTAGCCTAAGGTTGTATTCCAAACCAGTACATTTTGGCATGAAATGAAAAGATAGTGGGTTAAATTTAGAAAAAAAATTCCTTATGAAATAGTGTTTCTCCTTTCCTTTTTAGTGTTTTGTGTTAGCAATGACATCAGGCCAGATGTGGAACCACATTAGAGGCCCCCCCTATGCTCATAAGAACCCCCATACAGGACAAGTGGTGAGTCTTGGCTTTGTTTTCTTTTCTGTATTTCTGTTGTATTTCTGTGGAATAAGGCTGATACTAAGAGACAAATCAGAGTGCAAATTCTCCACTTGGCTTCTTTCTTTGTGAGTGAGTGAGGCTCACCTCTGCTGCACTGAGCAAGGCAAATCAACATATGTCTTGTATGTATGTTGCACCTTCCCTGATGAAGTGATAGTTCTAAATTGCTAACGGCAAAATAAAGGTGTTTGTGTCAAGTCTTACATGATAAACAGTCCTATTGCTGAGCCTGGCAATTTTATCTTCAACTTGGTCATGTTTACTGTACACTCATTGAATGACCTCCACATAAAAGCATCTTTCTTCAAGATTCTTGAGGTAAATTAATTTTTAGTGACCTCAGATTGTGAAATTTCTTTCTTGGGAAAAATGCGTTTTAACATAATTTGAAATGCACTGCTCTGTTTGTAATACAGGATGAGATGCACTGTAGAAGCAGTCAGAATGCTTTGAGAGCATTGCATCTCCTCAGGTGCTTACATTTCACATACTGGCTTTACTGATGCTTTTACTCAGGGAATTAATTGGGTGAAAAATCCTTTTGTGGCTGGTTAGATGGGTCAGGCCCTCTTTATTCTTCCATGGAAAGTGGCACTGCTTATCAAACCTTGTTTTTCCTGCTGAGGTACAACATCACAAACAGTAATGTAGATCTTGCCATAAGGGATACAAAAATAGTATTCTTTCACAAATTTCAATCTGTTTGTTAACCCAGTTGGTTAGTAAACTATTAATGTAAATAAACTGAGCCAAAGTACTCAGTGGAAGTTCTCATTTCAAGTGTTTTCTTGAGAACACTTCCTTTTGTTTCTTCTGTTTACATCATTTCTCAGCTTTCTTGAGACTGAAGAATGAAGCTCCAGGGGCATTGGTGGTGATGTTTCTTTTCTTGATATGCCATGAAAAAGATTTCAAATGCTTGGTTCTGGAGCCGAGCGCGGCGGGTTCACGTGGGAGCTGCTCCTCAGCGTAGTGCCAGTGTGTGTAACCTGAGCATCCGAGGGGGGGAGCGGAGCAGGTTTGGATCCCCGCGGGGGCAGCAGGGCCTAATCATGGCGTTTGCCCCGCTGAGTGGAGAGTCTGGACCAGGAAGGCAGTAGCTGCACTTGCACATAATCCAAATGGTACTTGAGGCTGGTTGTCCATGTTAATAGAAAGAGGATTCCTGGTGCTGTCACAGCTCCCCCCCACAATCAGCGCTCAGCAGTTGGAATTGCTCGTGCTCCAACTTGTGCTCAGTCTCCTGAAAGAAACGTGCAGAACCCAATGCCAGGCTCTGTAGATGTTATTAATATGTCAAAGTCGACCCCAGTCTTTTCTAAATTCAGTTACTCTG